TGGGCAGGATATAAATCAAATAAATAAAATAAATAAATCATCTATCCACTCTCTAATGTATTTGAGTGCTAAAGCAAAGGCCTTCAAGCTGGAATATGTGAACATTCTTCACATTTTTTCTGTATAGCCCAGATACTTTTGCTCCTGTCCTTCAAGGAAAGAGGCTCCATCATGTGTTTTTCTGCAGTGAAGCAGGACAATGTTTCTGCCAGCAACTATCAGTTATGCTACCACCACAACTGTCTTCTGCTCAGCTGAAAATGTGAGCAGCCTTGCACAGGACAAATGTTCAGTTCAGCCTAGGGCTCCTAATGGTGGCTGTGATTATAATATGAACACATAGAGATAACTACTAATTCTTCACATAATGTGTTTATCATGATAAATGTTAGCTGTGCTTGATCACGTGATACAGTCTGTGGCGATCCCCCTTTATTGTCCCTTTATTTCCTTTGGGCTCCACAAACATGCCTTTTTTCTTCTTTTTGCTGCCACCAGGTATTTCTCCTAATACCACTACAATTCCCCCACACAGGAGCTGCTCATATAACTTAGGAATCAGGGGATTGGTCAAATATTCTTTTATTAATGAACAAAATCATAAGGAGAATCAAATATATAACTGTTTCAGGTGTGCATATATTAGATCATGTATTCAATCACTGGTGTTTCTCATGTTAGGTTTATGTGTTCATTCCTGCTTGTCCACTATGTTTTACTCTTTCAATTTCCTTTCTTAACCCCTTTTTAGCTATTCCTAAACCCTAGCACCCTCTCCACATCTTCTTGTCCCTACTTCTCTCTATCCCTATCTGACTCCAACTGTCCTGAACTGTCTCTCTCACTCTCTAACTGACATTCTGACTCCACCCCTCCTGCTCTATCCTCTGATTGACATGCAGGAATGACATCATCTTTTGGGTTCCGCTAAACAGTCCAAGGAGCACAAAACAGCCAGTAATTCTTTTTCATATGGAAATAACAAAACAAAACAAAAAAAATCACCATAGTGTTATTATTACTCAATTTCTTACCTGCAAAGCTTCATTGATATTGCCATTGTAATCTATCATTTCATTCTTTCCTGGTTCACCCTTTGGACCCTGAGGAAAAAAAATCCAACCACATATATTAATAAGATTAGTATATTAAGATGTATTATCAAGTTTCCTTCTAGATTAGGGAGATTTGAAGCATTGTTGATTTGTAACAAAACCCTGCTAAATTAATTTTAAAATCATAAATTGTTGGGATAACATTTAAATTGTTTGAGGATGACCATTTGCAAATCAGGGATTGCACCTACAGGACCCACAGCTATCAATATCGCTAAGAGAAATATTCAAAGCATCTCTATTTGGAGAGAGGCATCTTAACCCGATTACACGGATCAATTTAATCTGTGTGCTTTGAGCCATTGTTTTCAGTCCAGGCTAGAAGTAGATGTGTTATCATTAAGGAAGTACAGTGGTGCCTCGCTTAACGAGTGCACCGTTTGACGACGAATCCGCATAGTGATGTCATTTTTGCGATCACAAAAGCGATCGCATTGCGATGTTTACATAGGCAAAAACCCGCATTGTGATGATCGGTAAGCATTTCGCTTACTGATATTCGCATAGTGATGTTTTTTAAAACAGCTGATTGGTGGTTCCAAAATGGCCACCGGGTGCCCAAAATGGCTGCCGCAAGTGTTTTCGTGCCCTGCCCTCGCTTAATGAGGGCGCGAAAATGGCGGTGCTATGGCGGAACTTCGCTGAATGGTGAGTTTGGGCCCCATAGGAACGCATTAAACGAAGTTTAATGCGTTCCTATGGGTTTTTTCGATCCGTTTAGCGATGTTTCTGCATAGCAATGATTAATTCGGAACGGATTAACGTCGCTATGTGGGGCACCACTGTAAAGGCATAGCAAGTCAAAACAGCACAGTCCAAGGGTTGCTGAAAATAACATTACTTTCTAATCAAATAACTTCTCATTAATATAGACCTTGTGAGTGTGTCGGCACTGCACAGTTGCAGCAATTTGATGCTACTTCCATGGTCATGATTCTTTCTTTTGGAGCCCTCGTATATATAATTTGGGGAATTGCTTCTCTGCTGGAGTGTTTCAATGCTTCCCCTTGAGCAATGGAAGGAATTTTAAGACCTTCCCAAAATCAAAACCTCCCAGAGTCTGTTAGATACAGCCATGGCGTTTAAAGTGGAATCAAACTGGTATAAATGTGTAATGTGGATACATGCCTTTACTGAAGAGTAAAAGAATACTAACCCTTGGGCCAAATGGTCCCTGTTCCCCAGGTTCTCCCTGTAAAACAAAGGACAATGAATTAATGATTCTATATTCTTCTTTTCGAAATGTCTTTACAAAGTTATGTTGCTTGAGTGTCCATGAAGCACACATAGTGAATTTTGATCACTTTATATGAATCATGGTTTTTACACTGAGTTTATAATTTTCATTTGATTACTTTTTCATTTTAAATTTCTGCCACAGGTAGAAAGGGTTTCCTAGAATAGGCTTTTCAATACATACAATACAAATAATGTTTCAATGTTCTTGTTCCTTTCCATCCCAGTTCCATATCAAGTTATGATGAGACTCTTTTTCCTGTGCATTTTATGAGTGTACACATTTCTCCCGTGCCCTTTTACTCATATATATTTTCCTAACACACGTATGGTTTTCAGCAAATCTATAATATGATGCGAGCCTAGGAAATGTTTGGATGTCAGAGGTAAGTTGGTACTTTATCTTGTTAGCAGTTAACAAGAGATACAAGAATACTTGCATAAAGAAATGCACATGCAACCAATTTCTTTTGAATCCATAATGAAAACAACACAGTATAAATGTAAGAGGACAGAAAACCAGGTCCTTAACCCATTGTGCAATATTTGTCATTCGGCCCATACATATTCAAAAAGGGAGAAACAGTTCCTCACCTTTGGTCCTGGGGGCCCAGGTAATCCTGGCGGTCCAGGTTCTCCTTTGCCTCCTCCAAGAGCATTGCCAGAATCTCCCTTTTCTCCCTAGATGTATAAAAGGATAAAGAATGATTATCTGATGGTTATACTTTAGTTTTCCATAACAGAGCTTTTCAGGGGGGAGAGAAGTGAGGTGAGCAAGACAGAATGAGTCCTTCAGAAACTCCTTAGTTCAGGGATTCCAAACTGTGCGCTGCAGGAAAGGGATGGAATATAGAGCTATGAAGGCTATAGAGCAGTGATGGTGAAACTTTTTGAGTCCGAGTTCCCAAACAGCAACACAAAACCAAATTATTTATTTTGAAGTGCCAGCACTGCAATTAAGGTTTTGAATACTGAGGTTTTAGTTTAGAAAAAACAATTCATGTCATTTACACATTTTGTCTGTCTGGTTCTTTATTGATTCCTCCAACTGATGGCTCTTTTAGAAAAAAGTCAAGTGTGGAATGCTACACGGAATTAAATGCATCCTATTTATAAATCTTGTTAAGTATATTGAAATCCTGAACTTGTTTCCTCCAAAGTAAGCTACCCTCAGAAAAGCAACTATATATAGGAGTGCACATTTTTAAAGGGTATACCTACATTTTATAAACTACATAAAGTGTATAAACACATTTCACTTATTTGAAATGTAGTGTTGGAAAAGAGATTTACAGATATCATGACTTGTCAGAAAGATAAGTAAAGCAAATTAAGTGTGGACTCTCACTAGAAGCTAAGATAACCAAGCAAAGGATATTGTACTACTGTGGCATCATGAGAAGACAAGCTCACCGGAAAAGGCAGCAATGTAGGGGAAAGTGCAATGCAGTAGGAAAAGAGGAAGACTGCACATGAGATGGATTGACTCAATAAACAAAGACACGGTCTTTTGTTTGTAAGACCTTTTGTTTGGTGTTGCAGTCAAAGCAGGACCGGGAGCAGAGAGACTGGGATTCAGATTTGGGGATTAAACCATGATACTTTTGCCTGATTTGGGGATAAGAAACAGAGAAATGTGTTGCTACACACTTCAGAAATCTAGTCCCAGGTGTGTTGGTTGTCTCTTACTAGGTGTTTGCTGTTAGTGAGACTCTGCTAAATATTCCAGTTCTGCCCAGTTCAATTTAGAGTCTAAACAGAATCTTGAAATACTGTACTTGCTGTTCTCAACAAAAATTGCAGAGCTAAATGCAGTGGAGATGAAATTTGGAAGGTTCCTTTTTTCATGGTTTTATTTATATTTATTTATATTTAATTTATATACCA